CCCTTCTCCCGCAGCGACTGCAGCGTGGGCCTCTTGAGTAGGAACTTGAGGAGCTTCTGCCGGACCTTGCTCAAGTCGCTCTCCTGGACCCCAGGGCTCAGGACAGGAGCGGCTGCCGCGGGCAATGCAAGGGCGAGTCAGTCCGTGGCGCCGGGGTGGCCCCCCAGGCCCCATCCGGGTCACCACCCCCTCCAAAAGATTCCCTTCACCCCACCCCCCACTCCCCCATCCCCACGCACACCTGCTCCAGGCCGTCCCTCATCCTCCCGCCAGCTTCCCAGGCGCTCGCTGGACCCGAAGTCCACACTGCTGTTCTCGCTTTCCTCCTCCGGGGGCAGGTCTGCAGACTAGAACCACAGAGCTTCAGAGGCAGAGCCTTGCTGGCCTGGTGACCCCTGAACCCACAAAATTCACCCTCCCCTTAACCGGGATAATTCCCCTCATCTCCACCATGGGCCCTCAGAACATTCACCTTTCTTAGCTGCATGAAGCTCTCTAGGTGTTGGGAGGCAGTACTCCTGTTCTGCCCTACCCATGTCCCAGTTCCTGCCCGGGCGCCCCACCCCCACCCCTTTTCCATATTTTTCTCAGCAACTCTGTACACTCCACTAGGTTAGGATTCCTCAGTATGTGGCTCCCAGTTCTGAGCTTGCAGTTCTAGCTGGGGCCTGAGCCAACAACCACACCAGAATCACCTCCCTGGATCTGGATTCCTGCCTCTAATAATATAGCCAAATGCCGCACCCAGTGTTGGGTCCTAGGGGATTTCAAAAAGCCCCAGGTTGTTTCCAGGTGAAGGGAAGCGTGGGCTCAGCGAAGGGAATCGCTGTCAGAGGGGGACTATCCCATCTCTACTTATGCAATTGTTATTTTGAACCTAAAAGTGGTAGACTCTTCAATTCAACCCTTAAAAATTTTATCTTCTAGTTTCAGCCTGTCATTCCAGCCTGAAGATATTTCTCAGATAGTTTCTTTTCCTTCTGCGCCCCTTAAAATGGGACATTCCTCTAGGATGTGCCTCCACCCCGACCTGAAGAATCAATCCTCCTGCAGGGCCAACCTCAGAGGCTGGTTCATATAAGAAAGGCTGTTTCTTCAGCAGCCCTCTTGCCATCCAGTCATAAGGATGGGAGGGATGGGGGTGGGGGTGGGGCTTCATCTGCAGGGAGGGGCACTACCCACTGGTGCCATGGAGCTCCCAGTGCCTGAGTAGAGGACCCCGCCCACAGTGGGCACAGCTGCCCTGCACACTGGCTGGCCATCCCCGCCTACCAGCCCTGGAGGCCCCAGGCTCTGCCTACCAGTTCCTGGATGCCCTGGGCAATGGCCTTGTGCCAGGTGCTGATGATGGCCTCCGAGTCGTGCTGGATTAGGTACTCTGAGCCGTCTTGGCTCCGCAGCTGGAGAGACACAAGTCATGGCTGAGTTTTGTCCCCCAGAGACCCCTCCTACTTCTCATCACCCTCCAAGGCCAAGGACTGGGGAACTCAGCTCCCGGAGAGAAAACTGCAGAATCCATGATGCCAGGAATACTGTGGGTGGATCCCTGAGGTGGGGGCAACTTTAGCTTTGAGCCCTGAGAATTCCAGACCCAATTCTCCCCAGGCACCCCCTTCTTGGGACTTGCCTAGTTTGAGCCCCAAGCCTCAGTAAGCCCCCTTTCTGTCTCTCCACCCCCACAACTCACCTCCAGCACATTCTTCTTGCTGGATTTGTCTTTGGGGGCCCAGGCAAGAGAGGCCCCCTTCAGCTCCACTGTGTATTCAGGGGTCGAGAGCTTAGGAGGCTGCCGCTGTGGGAGAGGGAAGGAGAGAGCCTTCAGCTTGGACAGGCCTGCCACCGGAGCCTGACTCCAGTCCACCAGCCCCCTTAGCTCTAGTGCCAGGATGGGGTCACAGCTCTGGGAGAAGGGGGCCCAAGGGTTTCTGGAACCCAGAGATCCTGGAACTTCTTAACCACAGAACCTGCAGGCTGGTGGGTCCTTTGCTGCCTGCCCTCCCAGGAGAGGAAAGGAAAAAAGTGTGCAGCCCCCATCCCTGCAAACAGGGACCTACTCCCCAGCTGCCTGCCCGCAAGGACAGCTCCCCATGCCCAGAATGGCTGCAGGTGCTGGTCCTGGGGTAAATCTGCTGTTGTCTTTGCCAAAGGCCTGGCTCACTGGACATTTATGTTTCCACTGTCTCAGAACTGGCCTTTGACAAGACAAATCAGGTCAAGACCCGCAGGAGTCAGGAGCAGACGGGGTGATCCCTGCCTTGGGGGCCTGGGGCTCACCAGGCCGACTGCAGCTGAGGTCCTCGAGTCCTTGAAGAACGTCAGGATGCCGCCCTCCAGCACCGTCCAGGAGGTGCTCCAGTGCTTCTTCCTGGGTGGGGATGGGAAATGGGGGGGGGGGGGGGGGGGGG